GGGCCCATGCAGGGCTGGCCCACCCCCCTGCCGCCATGGCTGACTCCCCCTTCCGCCTGCCCCGCACCTGGTGGCAGGCGGCCCAGGACGCCCTCCGCGAGACCATCCGGCTGGACCTGGAAGCCGCCTTCTACTTCACTCACTTGATTTTGGTCTTCAAGTCACCCAGGCCGGCTGCCATGGTGCTGGAGCGCTCCCAGGACTTTGGCAAGACGTGGATGCCTTACAAATACTTTGCTGCTAACTGCTCGGCCACCTTCGGGCTGGAGGATGACGTGAGTCAGAGAGGAGCCATTTGCACTTCCAGATATTCGAGTCCATTCCCCTGCACCGGAGGAGAGGTAGGCCTGCGGGGGGCGCGAAAAGAAAACCCTCCCTCCAGCCCCCCTTTCCCTCTGCAATCTCCACTCCAGCATTTACGCTTCTTATTTTACTGCACCAGCATCCCTTGTCATCAAATTTATTTCACAGGGTGAATTAATGTAATTCATTCTGAGGTGATGTAGGCACTGCCCTGCCCCTCAGTTTGCTGAGCTCTTTCCCAAAAAACTCCTCTCCCCTCAGCCGATGAACCCCACCCCTCACGACTGCAAAGAAGGCAGATGCTGCCGATGCCTCAGGACAGACAAAAGGGATGTCATTCTTCACGGTCTTCTCCAGTCCTTGCAGTTGTGTGGTTTTGAGGCGATGCAAACCGGTCCAACTTTGACCAAAATGCAGTGCAACTACGTTGAAATTAATGGTCACCATATTCACTGAGAAGTAAGAGTGTCAAAATAGTGACTGACCACACTGAAGTACAATTCCCATAAACCAGATTAGCCAGGTAATTAAGAAACCTTATACTTTTTTTTTTTTTCTGTGAACACTTGTTCTCATGTGAAAAGAGCATGAAAAGATTGAAGAAAAACGTCACGTTTGCTAAAAGGAAAAATAGATGTGAAAACTCTGATTATTTTGAATATCAGAAACAGCAGATAATTAATCGGGCACTGGAGATGCTACCAATAATACTCTTCCCTTTGGTGCATAAGCCTGTCCCGTGGCGCTGGAGACCCTCCTCTGGGAGCCAGGGCTGCAGGGCTGCCCTCCAGGGTCCCCACTGGTGGGGAGGCATCCCCAATAACCAGCCTGGACTTTAAAGGCTGCTCCCTCTAGTGGCCTCATTTAATGAGCTTGTCTGAAAGTTTAATCAAATGTAAAATTGCCCTCTGACCTAACACAGAGAAAGGAGCAAGTTTGATTGGTGATTCATATTATACAATTTTTGATTCTGCTGATAACATGTTTTGAGGTGAAAGCCTGGTTCTTGACACCAGCATTCAAGTCTGAGAAAAATCACCTGTTCGAACCTCTTTGCAGTCATTTGGGGTCACCTCTAGCCATGGCCTGGCTAGGAAGCCACTCTGCAGAAATACTGAGAGCTGTTTGTTCACCAGAGTGCATCTCTTAGCCGTGTCTTGGGACACAGCTGATGTCCTGCTCTAGGAGATGCTGCCCTGTGCTCTTGTCAGCTCAGAAACAAGGATCTCCAGGCTTGCCAGACAGACCCAGAAAAAGGTTTAAATCAGGTGGCTGGTGAGAGAAAGTGCTATCTTCCTCTCTTCTCCTGCCTCTCTTTGCTCATGCCCCTAAAAAGATGCCTGAACTGTCTTTCACTGTGAGATATATAAAGAGGCTTATAAGAAAGATGGAGAAAAACTTTTCACCAGGGCCTATTCTGACAGGACAAGGGACAACAGCTTTAAATGGAAATTGTTTTAGATTGGTTATAAGGAAGACCTTTTTTTACAATGGGTGTATTGAGTCACTGGAACAAGTTGCCTGGAGAACCTGTGGATGCCCCATCCCTGGAGGTGGTCAAGGCCAGGCTGGATGGGGCTTTGGGCAACCTGATCCGGTGGGAGGTGTCCCTGCCCATGGTGGGGGTGGGGGGGGGTGGACTAGATAATCTTTGAAGGTCCCTTCCAACCCAGATAATCCTGTGGTTCTGAATCAGGACTAACTACAAATTGGGACCTACAAAAGAAAGGCTGGACATACCCCGCTGAGCATTTTACAGGCCCTCAGCACTTCTGCCCACCTCTGTGTCCCACTACCTGAATCATAAGGCTACACCAGCCTGTGATGCAGTGCAGGGACCGAAATCTACAGCTCTCAGGCCAGCTAGCAGGACACATCTGAGGTACTCTGACTTGCACACTCCTTTTTCACCTTTTCCAAGGATTGTTCTCAGGGATAAGAAACCCAGGGCATCATTCAGGGTAGTATTTGCCTCATCTGTGCTGGCACCCTGGTGCAGTTTTCGCTGTGGTCACCACAGTGATGTACCTGCCCACCAGGACTGGGGCTGTACCTGGTGTGAACCCATGCAAATCCCAGCCTCCAGCTGGCTCCTCTACAGGTTGGTGCAACATGTGGGGACAGTAGGATTGAGGTCTTGTGTGTAGGAACCACGGCCTGTCTCAAGAAGGAAAGGAATTTTTGATGCATCTGCGGTAGCATGCTGCAAAATCAGGCTATTTACTGAGCTTGCTCCTGTGGGATATCTTCTTTTGGCATTGCTTTAGTTTGTGTTATTGCAAAGAAGCTATAAAAGTCAGGATCATTTAATTATTTCAGGTTTTAAAAAAAAGTTGAGTCCAAGGGTCTGGATCTTATAAGATGTTATTTATATGGCACACTTCAGTTCCCTGCCCATAAACACCACTTTTTACCTGCAAAGTAATAACAGCAGCTCTCTGGTGACCAGATGGCAAGCCTGCGTGCTTAGCAAATATCACATTTAATTTATTACAGTGTGCTACATTCCAGCAATTACTTGTAACTGCCAATAGCAACATGTATCTCACCTAAAGAAACATCAGAGTTTTGTGTTCTGTTTGGAGTTATGTTGTGCTTTACTCCCACTTCTGGTAGCACCTAATTTCAGACATATGGAAACAGTAATTTCACTTGAAACAGTGGTTTCAAATATGCAGTGGTATGAAATGTCCAACTCTGAAGGGTATTATTTAATTGCAGCTCAGTTGCTGCAGTTTTCTTTAAAGCACAAACATAAATTCTGCGAGTGCTACTGGATTTCTTTTTTAACTTTTTAGAGTTTTTTAACTGTGATGTAACAACTGTAACCTGTGATCCAAACTGTGTATCACACCGTCTGTATACCACTTTCTCCCACTTCAAACACTTCAACACCACATGTGCATTTCCAGACACCGAGTCAGGGCTTGCAGGGTTTTGCAGGATGGTGAGGTCTCTGCACACTGCTGGCAGCTTGGTCACTGTTTCCTGCCCCCTGGATGAGCAATTTGCTAAGCTCAGGGGAGGCCTCAGGAGGTGGTGGCTCACCCAAATGGCACCAGACCCAATCCACCCATGTTGCTGCTGAGTGTTATGGCACCTGCAAGCCCTGTTTCAAGGCAGCAGCATGCAAAGGTTCATAGTACTCAGGGGCTTATGGCCTCTTTTTAATAAATCACATGTTAATTGGGAGCAAAGGTGCATCTGCTTCAGTTCTTATTGAAAAGAAGAATCAGGCTTTTTGCATTTCTTCTGCCCTCATCGTCATGAGTCATTCCTGAGATGCCTAGTTCAACTCTTATGACAAAAATCCTCCCTCATCACAACCTGCCATGTTGTTGACCTTGAGGAGATTTATGATACCACAGAAAGCAAGCTCCAAGCCTCTGGGTTCATTTCAAAGATCCAGAGCTCAGAGCTGGTGGAGGAATGAAAGATGCTGAATTGGCTCTGGGAAATGCCTTTCTTCTTTATTCTGTAGTAGAGTGGCTCTGGGTTTCCCTTTTTGGTGGTGGGACCAGGGTGGTGGAGAGCATTTGGGAGAGCGGTCTGCATGAGGGGGCTGCAGGGTGTCACCGTGCTACAGTCACCAAAGCTGCAGGCCACCATGGCAGTGAGAGCCATCAGTAACAATGTCACATGCTATGCATGACACTTGGCAGGTCTACGGATGAGAGTCACCTTAGCAGGGACTTGGCAGGTCTCTGCCCTTCCTCACTACCTGTCCCTGATGCTGCAAAACCACCAGGTATGGTTATCCTCATATGAGTCCTCCACCTTGAAGCGGTCATGCGCTGGAGAATCAGCAGCGCAATGGTGGGATTAGGAAAGAAAGGGCAGATGTGGACAGCACTGTGGAGAAAAGAGGTTGAATGCTGCATGGCACAGTGGAGATGTCAGGAACACTGCACTGATGCCCTGGGTTTGCTCTTAAAGGCTTTCTCAGTGGAAGTAAGGATGGATTAACAGATCAGCATGTGCTCAGAGACTTTGCCAAGCTGAGCCCCATGCTGGAGCAGCCTAGCTAAAGTCTGGTCTCATGCAGAGAAGAACCACCCTTTCAGCAGCTAGGAAACAATGACTTCTCTGCAAGTGTCCAGGAGCCAAACAAAACATCTGAGCCCCTCCTCAGCAGGGAACAAAGGAAAAGAGGGAGATGGTGGGTGCCTGCCTCCTGCCCGGGCATCCCCAGACATTCAGTGTATCCTGTTCAGAAACCCACCCGCAGGCAGGCTCTCACCATTCAACACATAGGGCCAAGCTGTCCCCCGTCATGTGGCCCATCCGATATGCATGAAGGCGAAGGAGGAAAGAGGAGGAAACCTCAGTACAACTGAGCCAGGTTTCCAGCAAACTTTAAGCATCTGCCAGTTTGAGGGGTTGGGCTTGCAACCCAGCCATGAAGGAGAGGAGGAACTCCTTCCCTGTCAGGGAATCATTTTGGATCAGCTTTGTGCAAAGGGGTCACTAAAGGCTTTCCCCATGCTTAATTTAGCAAATTAACTGTTTCACAGCAACAGTTCATTTAGCATATGCAGAAACCTCTAAATTCTAGCTTTATATTAGTATCAGTTTATATTATCATCATACAGATGTGCTACAAATACAGAGTATTTACAGGGTGTAACCCTTCAGCCACACTATTGCAAGGGAAATCAGAACTGAATTCAGCAGCCAAACATAATCTGATCTAAGTAAACAAGATGCAGAAATAAACTCTTTCAGCTTCATGCTCAGATTTTTTGAATGCCAATTTTATTAGTATGCATAAAAGGCTGTCTTCCCTCCCATAGTTCAGATCATATTAATATTTCTTCTTTTACACTCTAATCTTAAAATTATCCTCAACTAGAGATTGCCATTAAGGGCTCATTGACAAGGGGCCCTTAGCAGATGTTAATTCTTTAACCGTGAGTGAGAGTGACTGTCCACTCTGCAATGCAATTATCTCATTCACTTTACATTCCCATCTGTGGTCAATTCAGATTAGCTCGCCTGAGTGTCCCCATTTAGACAAGCTCCAGGATAAAAGGACTTA